TGTGAAAGTCTGTTCTCAGGAATGGGCTAAGTCTTTAGACCACTGTTCTCTGTTGGGAGAAACGGGAACAGAAGTCAGCTGTCAAAACTCTCCTCTAACTTTTCAGGTTCTTAAGGTTACTCCAGTATAAAGGAAAAGTACTTGAATCCTTTTTAGAAGCTTTTTAAAAAAAATACATATTTTAAAAAATGTCTCCTGAAACTAATGATTCTGGAAAGTGAAGACACTGAAAAGACCCTAGAGATAGTGCTCCAATCGAAAATTCCTCAGAACAATTCTTACCAAAGACTAGATTCCAGTTTTTGGGAAGCACACGTTCCCACAGTTACTTTTCCAACTGGACCAATAAAAATGGATTTGAAAACTATAGGTGGTGGTGGGATTTATTTGGGGTTTTTTTGTTGTTTTTAATAGCTGTAATCGTTGTGCAAATGCTCATACAGATCAAGTTAGCTAAGGACATTTTTTAAAAAATGAAGTACTTTCTTTTAGCCAAAATCTTTCACCCTAAAAAAGTCATTAGGCTATCTTTATTAAGACTGTGCAAATTAGAATATGATCACGAGAAAAAACAGATTGCATAAATGGCATAACAGTTAGCATGATTTAAATTCAAAGTTTTCTAGATTCCACATTGCTTTATAAATAAAAAAGAACTGAAATGGTAGATTAGTGTATTTAAACAATCAGCATTTTACTTCGGCCTGTTGGACAAGTGTTCTTTTTATAGTAATATCTATACTCATTTAATAGATAATTTCAGGTCAAAAAAGAATTAGATGAAGTCAAACTGATGAATGATCACTTAGGAGTTTGCAGTAGATGAGTCCAACAGAAACCTGGCTACAAGGGGTAAATGCAGTCACCAGTAGATAAATTGAGTTCTTTAAAGCAAAAGAATAATTAAAATAGGTATAACGCACTCTGTCTGGAACTGAAAGAATCCTACACAGAAAATATGAAGACAGTTACATGAACATATCAATGCTCCTCTCCCAAACTGGAGAAAAATAAAAAAAACCCACACAAGCACAAAACAACAACAAAAAATACTGAAAGTTTACAAGTCCTTGATATTCACTTTATAATACTAATTATATTCACAATGACATGCTATATTGTTAAGGTCTCCTTCAAGTGCTAAGTATTTGTTGTAGTCATTTCTCGTCAATCCTCAATTTTCATTTCTCCTCAGGATGTATATGTTTTTTCATTAAAGCTCTCTCCAGAGATTTTTACAGGAGAAACATCATCTAGAGGTGAAGTTATTCTTCACTGATGAATGCCTGAAAAGACACCTAACCTTGAAATGTAATATATCATCAAACCTATGACTGGTGCAAAATCCCTGATTCAAACATACCAGGAACATTAAGCAGCACCACAGTGAGTTTAAGACTATACAAAGTCAAAATCCCTAGCTCTGTAGAAATGGGTATTACAGCCATATAACTGACTGCCTCTTACTGATGGTGACACACTAAAGGAAAGAAGAGACACTATGCAGAAGACAGAGCAACAATCATCCCATTCTGACAAGGTGCAAGTCCCAGTGGGAAGTGGTGGTCACACTACAAGTTTTTAGATTTCATAAATTATTTTTTGGGCATGTTTGTTTAATGGCTGCAAAAGAAGGAAGGTGGTCTTAATCACTCCTGAGAAATGTGCAAAGTCCAGCTGCAGGCACAACTAATTGAAGAGCTGCTTTATAATACTTGACATACTCAAAATCAGTATATCAATTCGTGCAAACATGACACACTTTTCTCAAAATCCATTATACCATTCTCATTTAAAAAGGAGAATATAAAAGAGAAAATTACTTTAAAAGAATTAAAGTAACTAGCTAGAATGACATAAATTATAGAAAAGATGCCCCCTATCAGAGAGGAATGACAACAAAAAAATACATGGCTACACAGCACACTGAAGTACGCTATTAAAACACGATCCTCCAAAGAGCACGGAGCCACATCCGAAAGAGAGCAAACAGGAAAAAGTATAAGCTCTGGCAAGTTGAATGAAGCATGTGTTGCAGTTTCAGAACCAAATTATTAAAAGTATACTAATTAAACATCTTCACCAAAGCCTCCAGAAGCAGGAAGCCTGTCAGACCCTTTTGCAGGGCTGAAAGACAAACAATTTATTCCAGGAGAGAGTTCTGAAGAGGTCTCTTAAAGTGGTATTAGAAGACATTTTAAAACAAATTAATGAAACGAGCAGCAACAAAATCATTAAGACCAGGTGGTATTCCATCCATGACTCATATAGTAATTTAGAAATGACACATCAAATACTAACTGTTCCGTTATTGCAATCTGTCAATCAACAGATTGAACACAGCAAATGTGAAAGTAATGAAAGGCTCTGAAGAGGAACAGTGCCACTCACCAGAACATCTGATTTTGAATGGGCAAACGGGATGAAACAAAACAGTAACAACAACAAAGTGCAGACACTACTGAAAAAATGAAGTTATGGGAATGATTCATTGCACTTTACATAATGGGAAGTTTTGTCTAGGAAAAAACATAAATTTTAGCAGACCCACAAGTATATCAGTAAAACGCATTAGGTTCCAAAAAAGCTTCCAACTAAGTCTCGCACCAGTGGATTTTAAAATAAAAATCCTGTTGTGAATTAATCATTAACTAAAACATAGGACACAATGGGTGGAATTAAATGACTGGTTTTCACAATGAAGGGAACGAAGGGAATCTATTTTGATGGAGTCAGAAGGAAATCTGTGGCACTTAACATGAAAAATTATTAGAAAATGAACTGAACAGTATGTATAAAATTTACTGAGGTAGTCAGATCTAACATAATGAAGAACCGCAGAAAAATGTCACACTGCTGAATCATTACAATATGAAGTGAAAGAAACTCAGATTAAGGCCAGGTTTCCCATCTTCATTAACTCTGCATGTATAATGTTAGGCAACATATCATCTAAAATTATTCAGGAAAGATACTGAAGTCAACACGGATGTTTTCCAAAATTTACAGCTCAGTGCTCAGAAATAGCGTAAAAGAAACAGAATGTTACAAGAACAAGAAAAAAAATATTATCATAAAGTACATCCACAACCCAGTGCACACCTTGAATGCCGCGGACAAGTCTGGTCACCTTGGTTTCAATTGGATATAGAGCAACCAGACAAGAATGATCAGAAGTATGCAATAAACAATTTCTGTGGAAGTTAATCAGGTGATTCTTTAGCTCGGAAAATAGAGGAGCGGGGAAGATATGGTATACATATTTATTAACCGTAAGTGGGTCAAAGAATATTTATTATTTTTAAAACTGCAAGAATTATGAGATACCCAGTGAAATTATGAGACAAGTTTAAAACAAACAAGTGAAGTTACTTTTTCCGCGCATGCATTAAACTGGAATTTACCGATGCAGATGCCATGGATGCTTGTAAGGTACAAGTAAGTTCAAGATAGAGCTTGATAAATTCATGGAATAAAGTTCCATCGAAAGCTATGATGAACATCATTAAACAGATTGAAGAAATCCTTAAATCACAAATTGCTGGGAGCCAAAACTGACCACTATGAGAATTAAACTGGACTTTGGCTTAAACACATGTGGCAATTCTTATGTTTTTAAATATGACTGTGTTCCTTAAAAGTCAATGATCTTATTTGCTTGACAACACTTGATTGGTGCCTCCATAACACAGAAACTGTATTAACATGTTCTGTTAAGAAAATTATTTTTCCCCACAGCATTCTAGTTGATAGTCAACTCTAAGATTCTCCATTTCTGCTTTGTTTTTTTGGTTTTACTTTTACCAAATTATATTAAAAGCAGATATTCCTGAAAATAAAATATTAACACTTACCCGTTTGTCTAGCGTTCTTTCCCTTACAAAGCCAAGCAGCTGGTCATTGACTAAGGAAAGATCTCTCTTGCCCGCGGTAATAATTGTAACAATAACATCATGTCGAATGGCTTCTTCTGGGTCATGTGATCTAACCTTCAAATATTCTGTTACAATCAGAAACAATTAAAATCTTGGCTTTTTTATGTAGATATGACGTATTCTGATCTATTAATAATGTTAAACCAATTAAATGTCAGTCACATATCACAACGATATAATCTATTAAGCATGTAACTGCCTACAGGAAACATCTGTTCCGTCATTTTCTATGTTAAATATAGAACAATTTTATAACTGTAAGTATAAGAAGAATATAAAAATGAACAGCTTTTACAATAACCTCATTTGCAACAAGCAATGAAGTGAAATAAAGCTGATTAGAACATATTGAAAATAAAGGAGGGAGGAGGTGAGAAGAAATAAAAAGAGCAGAGACTCTTATTCCCAAAGAGCTAAGAAGGTAAACAATAAATGAAAAATACTGACAATTGCTGCAGGTTAGCTTGCATCAAAAGAGAACAGTATTTTCAGTTAAGTCTGAAATTCTGCTCCTAGTTAAAATGATGCTGAAGTGAAGGAAGAAACTTCATAGTTCAGATCAGCACAATGGCATTTTCTAAACTCAATGAAAGAGAGTGCTGGGGAACACATTGTTTCTGAAAATAAATCAAGATGTTGCACCAATATTTGCTTTCACTTGCCAAAAGTTTCATTAGAATCTGAAATTACTTCAAAACTCATTCTGCAACGGGTAGCTTCTTAAAGACTCACTCTGACAAAGTCCACGCAATGTCACACGCTCCTCTCTTTCTAATAACTAGCACTGCAATTACTCAGTATTTAGCTCTTCCATCCAGCATCAAGCATGGAACTTGATCATTTCAGAACTATACTGCTATGTACAGAAATAATTACATTCTTCCTTGCTCATTTCCTAAAGTATTCTAAATCTCTGTATGAGCATCTCACCAGTGAGGTCTTTTGCTAAGTCTGGATGGTTCATTAAACAATGACTGGCGAATTTCACACTCTCTAATCTCACAGGGACATGGATATCATTGAACCTAGAGGGACAGAAGATGATGAATGTTAATTTTTAATTAGCCTTGCAAATCAAGATTATTCTCTATGTAATAACATGTGTTGATAGTATATTCCATTAACTATGAGAATACTTCTAGATGGCAAAAAAATACAATAGGAATGTTCTGAATTTATCTCCATAAACGTACCTCATACACATTTTTATGTTATTTATTAAGTAATTAAGTCAGGACTAAAATTAAAGGACGAATACACTACATGCGGATGAAATGTTGACCCAATGGATTTCGATCGTTGAGTTTTAAACATAATTCTCCATACACTGTCAATCGTGTGTACATATATATATACATGAAATTGTAGAAATATAAATCACTATATAGCATGCACCATTTGAAAACACGCCATTTTAAAAAATGATAAATTTCTGTATTTACTTAAAAGGAAATATTTCTTCACTAAAAAGGTAAATGCCAAATAAAACAGATACAGTTGAAGATACGGCTGAACAGTATGAAATCTCAATCAATGCTGGCATACCTATTGTCTAATTTTTGCTATGTACATAACATGTTACCTCTATCTAACCTATATTCCCATAGCTGACAACAATATAGCAGCAGTTCTTCAGGCTTCTTTGCTCTAAAATATAACTGTATGCAATTCTCTGCTTCAAAGCTTAAACAAAAGAACTTGTTCAATCAAATACAGTTACGTCCTCTAAAAACACAATGAAAAAATGTAATACTACCAGAAGAAATTCAGAACAAAAAGAAGAGAAATTCAGAATTCTATCCCCGTTTCTCTTACCGCCCAAGAAAGCATTGCCAAAGAGGACGATTTTGTGTGGCCAGATCAGAATCTTTGGAGCCAAAGAGTTTAGCCAGAAGTCGAACAACAGCCAAACGTTCTTCTCCATCATTGCTCTAAAAATCAAAACATGAAAAGGGAACTGTAAATCATTACTGGTAATATCTTAATAATAACTTCTGGCTTCCTCTTCCTTTTTTCTGGCTTTTATAAGTTAGATGAAAAAGTGAATTTGAAACAATTTCTGATAATCCTCAGTCTCCGTAATTGAGTTATTAGATGAATATGAGTAAAAATATATGAATACCTATTGAATTAACATATTACAGCCACTGAATAGATGGCAGTGCTTTGAATATTCCTCTTCTTTCAGGAATAAAAACCCACGCACAGTAGTTTGAATAACATATCTCCTTAACAATTTCAACAATGAATGATTTTATTTTTGTTTTAAAACATTTTTAGCTATTTTATGTGTGTGGAAAAGACATTAATTAAGATGTTATAAATATATGTGAATTAATAAAAGATACATGTAATTTCACCAAATACCTATTTCTTGGTTATTTTTGTTTGTTGCCACCATACCCTAGATCTACACGCATACAATAAAATTATTTCTCTTGTCCACTTACAATCTTATGAGAGACAAACAGCTTTTAATTAAAAAAAAAAACCAAAACCACAAAAACCAAATCATGACAAATTAGCTATTTCCAAGGAATCAAAAGAAGTCAGCTGGCTTATTAGCTGATCATGACAAATTTGAGAAAGTATTTGCAATATTCTGCAAATCAATACTGACACACTTGCATTTCATGAGATAAGCCAACCACAGCCTAATCACTTTATAAATTTCAGGTGAAATCAAAGATTAAGTACACATAACTTTTGCATTAGATCATATGAATTTATACTTATAATCATTATATATTTTGTGTGCATAATACAGTTTGCGAGCAGAGAAAGCACACAATTGTATACAACTTTCTAATGTCCTTCCTTTAATATTACATTTATCTTTAAAATAAGGTGAAAAACAAATATTTTTATCCCTCCATCAGAACACTTATTAAATCTACAGGTCTGTGCTCTTCATATCCACACAAATATTATTACTTGTCCAGAGCTACACTGCAACCTACCTTCAGCTTGAATTCAAGCTGTGGCATGACAGACAGCAGTAAGTGAGGATCTATGGCAAAAAGCTCTTGTATCAAGTCAAACACGTGTTCTGACAAGTCACTTACTGAAGACTTTCCCAGTACCAGAACCTGGTTAAAAAACTAGAATACAAACAATATTATTTAGCAGATTTTTCTTCCTTAATACAAACACTATTTGAAAAAAATATTTTACATAGTATCATTAATACATTAGGTACTCAATGCATATTTTTTCATTAAATCAAAGCATTTCACCCTCACAGTTTTGGCTCAAGCAAATTACAAACAAACCTCCTTCAAAATTCAGTTCTATTACTTCCATCAGGATTGATTAATTCATGGTTATTCCATAATTTAAAATATAAATAACCATCTCCCCAGCAAAATTAACAGATAATAAAATAATTGTTAATTTAAAATGCATATTCATCCAGTAGAAGTTGAGAAAAAAAGTTATTTTTTATTTTCTTATAATTTAAAAACAATCCAAATTGAAGATCATTAAATGCTGAAAAAGAAGCTTCTCTACTTTTAATCCAGTTTAAAGAATGTCAGACTTTATATGTCTTGTGATATTTGAACGTAACGTATCTAACAGAAAAAAACAAAGTAACCGAAACTATGAATGATTTCTTTTGGATCTGTTAAATTTGAATATGCTTGATGTAATTCCTATTAGATATTGTGGGTTAATATTATTTGAGCAGTGCAAATGCTACAAAGCTTTTATACACTTGAATAAGAAAGCAAGAATAATGATATTAAATCAACTCAAAGGTCATCCTGTTTCCAGGATATGTTATCCAGCTATGACTAATTACAAAAGCTTAAAAAAAACACAGGAATTGGAAAGCGGTACTTGTTAGCAAAACTCTTTGAGCTTTTAAATACCTACTGATTAATCTTTTATGAATTTGCCTAATTCCCTTTTTATACTACTCTGACTCTTAAAAATTTTATTGGCTTCAGCACCAAGGAAAGGCAACAGAATGCACCAGATCACATCTCCCACAACATTGCAGCAGCTATTTTAACAGGCAGAACATACAACATTGACATTCAACAAAAGGAATTATAGTAAAAGGAAATCTTGCAAAAAACTAAATTCTTTTAGTCTTTATGACTAAAACAAGTTTAGGATGAAAAAAAGAAAAAAAAATCTAGTAAAGAGCTTGTAGTTAGAAATGCTTCCTTCTAAAGCTCAGTATGAAATGAGGCTGTCTGGTTGCTGGACACAAAGTACTGAGAATTCCTTTTGTTGCAACAGGATTTTTTGGTGGTCACCTATTTTCACAGCCTAGATTTAGGCTTAACTTTAGAGAGTGAGATGGGTAAAACTTAATTTCCTCTTCACTTATTTGAAACACCTCACGTACTTCTTTAACAATCAATCTAATAATACCTTATTCGGAAAATGTTATTCTTGTAGCTGCATTACAAAACATGACTTTTACGAACAATATTTTTAAACAAACAAACAAATCTCCAATAAATCGAGACAGTAACAAGTACACTTGTTACTTGTAGGTAACATGCATGTATTAATTTACATACATTGGCAATACACGGTTCAATGGTCTGGACGGTCCTTTTCAACAGGACTTTTGCAAGATCAAATGCTTGTTTATTAAGGTTCTGAAATAAAAAAACAACAATAATAAAATTTTAAAGAGACAAACTATTTCAGGTGACTTTACTTTTCTGTCCCAACCTTAAAAGACGGTGACTTCAGAATGTTTTCTCACCAACCTACTTGTTTTCAAAGCTAAGTTCAGTCATGTTAATTCCACAACTACAGACTTAGAAAAAAAATCTTAAAACTATTTTTTAACACACTTAAAAGAAGTCTAACCCAAAATGATCACTTCCTGCACGTTCTTTTGAGACTTTGTCACTCCAGTTGTTACCTTTAGCATTGCATTCATACCCATAAAGTTCCCACATGCAATCATATTCAAAATTTTGAAGAAACATTACCACACCTCCATGCTTTAATAATTAACATGCACCAAATTTTGCTGCTGAAAATGAACTAGTTAGGCTTACTATGTAAATGTGTTTTTGTTTCCCTCTCACACGGTCATTAAAAGTACACCCTGTATCAAAGTTCAGCCTTGTCTAGGGGGTGAAAGTGTGCACTGACTTCTCCATGGATGGTACTGTGTGCTCTAAGATAGGCCACAGAAAGCACCTACACTTGGGCAGAGTTAGCTGCAAACCTTCCAAGTAAACATTTGACTGCAACATAAAAAATCTGAACATTGTTTTTATTACTCTCAAGCATGATAAGGAATGTAGATGCACACATGAAAAACGTGACTGTCCAAATCTGCACAAAATCCAATATGCAGTATCTCTTCTCATCTAGGGATTAATGCGGGGGCGGCGGGAATAAAAAGAAGAAGAAGAGAAAAAAAAAGGATGGTAGATTAGCTGATTGCCCTGAAAACTACAAATGACTGGAGACAAAATACGAGTTAAGCCTAAGGATGACTGATTCTTGGAAAGACAGTATTTGGCAAGTCTACATTGAGTGTAAGTCCCTCATGTTCTTTTAGCTGATGAGAAGACAAAATGAAAGACAGTTCATCAACTGCTAAAGAGAAATAAATGGCCAAAGGCTCAAACAAATATCTCCTCAGTCACCGTAGCACTAAACTGATGTCTCACTATAGAAGACAGACAAACATGTATAAACTTTTCTCAAATTCAAAACAAAATAGTTCCTTTCCAAAGCAGACCATGACTAAAATCTTGTTGGCAGGTATGTCTGTACTACACTAAAGGGCTGACAACCTCATACAGAAAACATATTTTATTTGGATCTTCAATACAGCTTCAAAGATTTCTTGCAATGAAGTTATGTTAGGTTTTTTGGCCCTAGACACGCTCATCAGAGCTAGAATAAAAACCAAAACCAAAATAAATTAAAAAAACCCACCAAACAAAAAAACAAACCCACAACCACTCTAATACAGAAAAAAAAATCCAAATAACCAAACACTGAAATAGTCCAGAAAATAAATATATATTGATAAAATAAACAACTATTAATAAATAAATAAACAACAAAAAAAAGTCTATTAGGAGGGAAAAAACCTTGAAGGTCTGGATTTGCCATGCTGTAGAGGATATAGAAGAAAACAGTGACTTTAAATACATGAAATACATGTTTTTAAGGAATAACCTTGATAGTAAGAGTGTGAAGAAAAATATTCACTAAATAGCACTGGTTTTAAAGTTAATAAAAAAGAACCACAGTTTGATGCCATAGGTGGTCTGAGCAAAATGTGACATATACTGCTACTGAAAACCTAGATTTACTAGAGGAGAGCAACATTAGTACGCACAGAAAGAACAATGTACAGTAAAGCCACTTTACTGATAATGGAGGTACAAATCAATACAATTTAGATGCTGAGGTAGACTACTTCATGTCTAGGTACTGGTATATTTCTCTTTTTTTATTGCAGTATTGTCTTACACAATGTAAGAGAGTTTAAAATAGAAAAAAAAGTAATAGAATACATTATCCAAAACACGTATTTCAGCTCTTTTACAAAGATGAACTTCCATTAAGTGTCTTGCCACACTGATACTTCTATTATGTCACAGCAGAGAATGACTAGCATTCGATTGCTTTATACAGACATAAAAGAATTGTTACTGTATGTTCTCTACAAGAAAATAAACTGTGCTTTTCAAGCTATGGTGCTTCTGATTTACATACCTAAGAACAAACAATTAATATAATCACAGAATTTCCTAGGAGATCTGGTCATGAAAGGAGAATGTAATTACTGCAGTCAATCTCTGCTAGGCAGAGAAGCCAAAAGAACTTTCTGGTTGTTTTGTTTTGTTCTGTTTTTTAACTACCATGGTCAAGCATTAGTTTAAATTTTGTTGTTACAGGAAACAAGTTAAAATAGACCAAAATACTGACCCAAGTATGATACTGAGCACTGACTATAGCATATTATTTGCTCAGTCATGATGGCCAAGGGCCAGTAAGGACTGACCACCAGTCTGGAAGCCAACATACTAAGTATGCAGTACAACTCAATATTTACACTAAGTTTGCCTCCCTCTTTATCACAGCCTTGCTTGAAAATTTCCTTCGTTAGGCAAAATTATATGATTAAGCTAACAATGTTAATGCTAAAGGATCATATTCACTTTTACTTTGCCTACACCAAGCAGTCACAACACACTACTCAGCTGTAGAAGGTTTACCAGGTTTGCATCCTCAGAGCAATGCCCGCCACTGTTAATAGCATCACCCAGAACCTGACATATACACCTCCACTCCTGTTTCCACTTCTGATCCCTACTGCCTGTTATTAATTAGAAACAATTTACAAAGAACAACATATTTTCAAAAGGACTTTTTCTATTGTTATTTGTAAGAGGCCTCCCTTCCTGTTAGCAGTTTTAATAAGACAACATCTTGTTGCTGTCAATAAAAATGAGTTGATAGAATCATATTCCCATCTCATGGTCATGACAGAAGGAACGCAAACTGACCTCACACAATAAATACTTTTATACACCTGTTGCTGAGACTTCACACGTAAATGACAATGGCCACAGTTTAGTCACTCCTGTGCTATAAATTTCCATGAATTCTCCCTCTTTAGGTAACCAAAGGAATAATCCCTGCTTTTATGTGCCAATTTAACTTTAATTATGTAGTCATGGATGGAGCTGCCTTAATTTTATCATTATTTTAAATTAATAAATGAACAAACAGAAACACATACTTGGTAACCAGAGAACAGCTCATTTACTGTAGCTCATAATTGAAACTTACTGTTCTCTATGTAATTTTCACTAAGAAGCACAAGTCTTTTAGCAAGGGAATTTTCTTGGTCAATGGAAGGCAACACCAGCCTGCGACTCACTTTCCCTGATTTCACAGCAACGAGTTATGTTCATTCCCCTTTCAACTTTATCTAGCCATTACAGTAAAGGTACTTCAAAAGTTCAACTGCAGACCCAGTGACCAGATAAATAAATCACACAATGAAACCAGAAGAGCAGCATCAGTGACACTTCATGAAGCTGTCTGTAAAAGGGGAGTCTCTGCAAAACCTGCCGACGTAGCTGTGTAGACGGGCTAAGACAACAGCTGCATGACAGCAGCAATCTGCTAGGAGGGGATCACACAAGACTCCTCTAGGAAGGAAGGGCGCAGCTCACTTATGGCGAGTTAAAGGGATGCTGAACTCTGTAAAGGGGGGAAAGATTATGGAGCTTATAAAGGAACTTACAAAAGTACTACACTTCCGGTAACACTTAAGTTTTTTTAAAATAAGTTTAATGAGGGAAAGACACTGGAGGTGGGCAAACAACAGCTAGAGAGGTGGAAGGGAGTCTGAGTGACAAGCTGAGGCAAGCAGCAAGTCACCACAGAAGCCTTGTGGAAGTCTTCCCTGCTCCTTATCCCCCTTATTTTTTTTAAATAAATAAAAAAAACTTCACATCTTTTCAATCAAAAAAACCTCAACAAACCCAAAACGACCCACAACGCTTAAGATGTGATGTTTTCCTATTGCATTTGCTTGAAAATACTTTCTTTCTGTTTCAATACAGAGTTCCTTAGGTGGCAAGTAGGCAGAATCTCGTGATACTGCTAAAGAAAAGCATCAAATAATTCCCGAACGAAACTTTCGATCCACTGCTACAAGGCTGGGGGTGGGGAAAAAGCAGTCGTGATGGCTAAAGTGTGTGGAGAGATAAACAACAAGCAAAAGGCAATAAAAAATATTGTTATAATGGTACACTATTACAGAATTTTACTTTGCAGACCTTGTGTGCAGGAATGAGGTTAATCAAAATGGAGTCCAGCAGCTCCTGAGTTACTCCATCGCCTTCCATGATGATAGAACTCATCAAATCCAGCATATGCATTTGTACCTTCTGGTTGTGGCTATTACTAAAATGATAAAGAATATTATCAATACTAAATTTTTAGACCTTGACAAGTATTAACAGTACTGTTAAGGAACAATGTCTAACACTGTCCAGCCTGCCCTCCCTTACATTCTCCACATCTCAAAACTACTTATGTGCCTTTCCTCTCTTATAGAAATCTTCAAAAACCTAGAACACCCTAGCTTTACTTTAAGTGAAACAAAACAATAAAGAAGGAAATAACAACCATGGAAACACAAATATAGAAAAATCAGTCAGAATGAAGGATACTGTTGTAACATGAACAAGAAATTTTAAAACACATCTACTTTTAGAAACATACCCCTCTCCATATTGTCAGTAATTCGCACTCATTTGGTTTCCCTGTATCTCCTCGTTTGGAGGAATAAAGACTCATTCTACTCAGACATATTTCTTTGTAGACTATGCAAGGATTCAGTCTACCTCTGAAATTGATGATATTTTGACAGTTTAATATAATTGAAGCAATTCAACTTACTTGATAACTGAAAAAAGAGTCCTAAAAAGCTGAATAAAAATTTCATTGCAATCTTCCAACTCAAAGCAGATGTTGTAAGATTTAACCCAAGCTAAATTCTAAAACAAAAAATAGGATATTCAGGATATTACAACAAGTCACATAAATATAATCATGTTAGTTACATTTTCTCTATTTAAGGAAAAAATATTACACAATAGATTGTAAACCCTTTGGAGAAAGAGACTGGATATTTGCTTTGCATATAGAGTTCTTAACACCAAGAGGCTTTGCAATACACACTCAGAAAAAAACTAAATATAGAATAATCTGATTTCTTATGTATAAAAGCAGATTGACAGAAATTGTTAATAAGTTCATGTTTCTAGACTTTTTTCTTCATGCTATGAAACAATACAGTTTTAAATATCAATAAAAGGTTTACAAACAAGATAGTGTTTGTACATGCACACTGATAAAACCCTCACAATTCATGTCAAGAGCAGATTTTTCTAATGTTTTTAAACCAAAATCTTATACTCTTTCTCCCATCACCAATATAAGCAATTTGCATTTTAATCAGCATTTGAAGTTCTCCCTTGATGAGGTAATATAACCTAAGGGTGCATGATATGAAAAAACAATGTATAGAATTGTAAGACAAAAGCTAAATGTTGATAAATACCAATTGTTTTAACATGTGCTCAACTATAGGCTGCATGAACGTATTAAACGCAAACAGAATTATAACTGCTAAAAGAAGCAATTCATTGAACTTTAAGGAGTCTGGTGCGATTTACAGAATAAAAGACATTTCCCACGCATACTGGCACATCTGGAGAAAGATTGATTACATTTCTTAGGTTTACAGAGTAAATACCATCTACTGAAAGTTACAATTATTGTGTTACCTCTAACAAGTAAAAGTATCTGTTAAATTGAGGGCTCTTCGTGTCCTCCAAGCCTTTTAATTGTCTTGTAATAAACAAGAATATGTCCTGTCAAAAAATGATAAAGTTTTACAAGCTTGATTCAGCAGAGAATAAAAATACAACCCTTTAGTAGTGACATCTACCCACATTTACAAACTCATGATATGAGAACATTAAATTGTCCCTTTTAGGCACTGATGGAAAGCTATCACCAACAGCTACCGGTTGTCTAACATTCCTTTACACACCTCTGGCCCTTAAAGTACTACACTGACTCACAGGACTAAAGCAACATCTCTTAAATAAAATTGAGCATGCGTATACATGTGAGAAAAAAAAATTCTTCAGTTGTTTTTTTGTTTGTTTGTTTGTTTTGGGTTTGTTTTTTTCAAGGGGTTGGAATGGTGCTTTTTTTTCTTCTCATTAAGAGAATAAGAGAGGAAGAAAACCTTTATTTTATAAAGCATTTTTACCTTAAGTTTGTCGTGGGAAGTATATGGAGCTTCAGGAGCATAGATACGAAAGATATCAGCCAAGCAACATGCTACAAGGAGGCGCACATCTTTATTGGGATTCCTGAGGAAGAATTCAGATGCAAGGTGCAAGGCTAATGGCAGATACTGCTGCTTCTCATCCTCTGAGTCCTGGTCCATATCCATGAAGGTTTTTACCACCATCTGGAAAACACAGAAAAAAATCCCATTCGAGTGCTTTTGGCTTTTATTCCTAATTACTAAACAATACCTTCTAAAAGGATGCAATGATATCAAGACATGTTCCACTACATAATCACAGCACTACAATTTTTTTGTTAGGATGAACATCAGAAAAAGAGAAGTGCTAATCTGATACTTAAATCTGAACTTGGTATTTTAAATTAAGACACTTAAAAATGCTGCGCAGCTCTGCTTATTTTGCCAATCTTAACCTGAGGTGCAGCACAGAAACTGGGGTACGCTGACGAGGTTGGAAATGGCAGCATCTTTTCATCAAAGCAGTCCACACCACTTCAAAGTGAGGACTTGCCTCAGAATGGACAGTGTAAGGGGCCTGCAAGCCATGTGGCCTAACTTTATAAGCCACAGGATAATGCAGCTGCTTTAAGAGCTATGTCAAGACTTGAGAGGAGCCTAAGAGGCCAGTCTTACGCTCTGCCTGAACCACAGCACATAGCTCAAGAACTACTTTACATACACACAATCCTTTTATCTGGTTTAAACAAACTAGATACCAGATAAGAATTTAATCCTTCATGTAAAATGTGTCTAATGCTGCAGATCTATTCTTTCCACATACTCAAAACTGCATCTATAGCCTCATCTATATTAATAGAAAAAATCAACTATGTGGTTCCCTTGTTTCTTCTACTGCAACTAAGAACTACTAATTCCTATGAAATGCCACCAAATTTGTTTATTTTTAATTGAAACATCTCAACGATTTGGCAAAACTGAAGACGAAGATTTAGTATGAAAAAATAAAAAGTTGCAAGTTTAACTTCTGGAATAGAGTTTGTTAAAGGATAAGGATGACTTCTAGGATGTCAGCACAGAACTGGGAGGTGTGCCAAAGATTCTTAGTATGACCTTAGTCAAATGGGTCTTTATGTCCCATTCCTCCATGACACGTGAGCATCCTTAGAGTTAAGATTGTGAAGGACAGCCGTATTGCATATCAGTAGGATTTAGTATACCCATTACACACACAGTACACATATTAAAGATACATAAAAAAAACAGAATGATAAATCTAGATGGGTCAAATTCGCTTCTAGAATATTAACAGTAAAACACAAGAGGAGATTGAGCTCACATATCTAATAAACACATCTTACTCTTACCACAATTCTTTTATTATCCTGTCATTCAAATGATACTAAGGTTGTTCCTCCGTTACTAAGTATGCTGCTGCTTCCAACATGAAAACACTGTCTTTCATCTTTACTTCCTCCTTGAGTTTTGGAACTCAGTTTTAAACTCAGTAGATCTTATAAATTAAAATAAATGTTTGACAGCAACCTTTCCTACAGTACATTACTTAAAACTCCTCCTCAATTTCTATAAATGTACGAGTACATTCCTTTGTGAAGCAACTTATAGCAAAACAAAACAAAAAAAAAAAAAAATCAAGAAAGAAACAGAGAGGGGGGCAAAAAAAACCCCCTCAAACCCAACAGAATAAAAGAGACCTTTACAACCACAGCCCTTAAAAATCCATATTCTACCTGCATTGTGCTGTTTCCCTAAAAATATTCTCAAGTCATATTTGAAGAATTAGCTGAAAAGACAAAACCATTCTTCTACTGACAGTACAAGTCTGTTACAGTGTCACGTATCACCTGTCCTTCCTAGACACCCAAATCAAAAAAATAGATAACAGTCTTCAAAACCTACCTGATTCTTTCAATAAGGTTAAAAAAAACCCTACACCCCCTCAAAAAACAAACAAACAACAACAAACCCCAAAAATCAAACCAAAACACAGAAAACCACCACATCAAAAAAACTACACTGCGCACTCTCTGCTGGTGGCAGGATGAGGAATAATGGCCTTGACTTGCAGTATGGGATTCAGATAACTACTACTGAAGAATTTAAGAATAGGGTAAAAAGGACTAAAAGATCTGTAGATCTTACCCTGCAGACTGATGACAAACTGTATCTGTACCATATAAACTTGTCCCACTAAAGTTCCTTTCAGCCTTTTTACTAATTTTATAGATAACCTACATAAGCAATCTTTTGATCTTTCTCATAAAGCCTGATCTCCTTTCTCCTCATGTGCATCGTAAACTGCATAACCAGAACATCCTCCTAGATTCAGATCTCTCTTCGGGTTCTTACAGTCATACGACAATATGCATAAATCTTGTGTACATCGCTTCTCTGATACGTCAAAACCAGAAAAGGTAAGGCAGCATGGTGCTGTGAAAACTCACTTAACTTTCCCATTTGGTAACACAATGTTACAATATTCTGATATTAAAGTAATGAAACTAGTCTTTGGCACCATCATGCTTGTTTGAAAACACACCAGCCTTACAGATTTTCCTGTGTTGCTCTTGTATTCAGAAGGAACTGCCAGCAAATATCCATAAAACCTCATTCTATTCCCCCGAAAAGCACTCCTTGCTATTTCTTTTCTATTAAAAACAACACTTGGGCATTAATTGGGCCATTGGCAAGCTGCAACTGCTATTTAATGTACTGATCTATGATTCCTCCATTGTTTCTTTATAGTTGCATATCTGCTTGTATTTGTGTATTGTCTTGTGTTTAATAATAAAGTCTTTGGTGCATGACGCCCTGTTTACAGCATGCACAAAAAATGAACAGAACACTATCTCAGTCTTTATCTAGAATTCCAGATACCAAAGCAACACAAATAATGAATAACATGTATGGGGTATACAAAATATATAGTATAATGCAAATAATGAAAGTAATATATAAACAAACTACAGAGGGCTATACCACGGTTAAATGTATGATGTAAATTATCACTAGTGGCAGGACACATATAAGATTTGGGAAAAAGGGAATTAAGACAGCCTTGCATTTAAGTACAATCCAACAAGTTGTTGGACGCTATCATCATAGTGCAACAATAATATTTCTTGAATATATGCAATTAACTATATCTAAAATCCTACCGCCTGGGAGCAGTTTCTTTAGTCAAGCAACTACTGGCACTGATAAAGGTATTACACAATAGAATTACTTCCAAATGCCTGCTAATCTACATATGACATTAATTGTTAAAATAGAAGAAAAAAGTAGTCCAGACATTAAACACAATATATGTTCGTCTCTTCACATGCACTAGAAAGCCAAGAACTCACTCAAAACTTCAACGGTTATAGGACTGGTACTCTTGCCCTGTAGCACAACTGAAAAATTAGTTATCAAGCAACAGTCAAGAGCAACTTAAGCCTTTAGAAGAACAAGATACTGCACGTTTCATGAAATCGCTTATTCGTAATAGCACTGCGTATCCTCAACTACAACACACTGATCAACAACAGTTCCATGATTTCCTGGGGTACTCCTGTCTCTCTCTCCGCCGTCATCTGTTGTCTTGTTTCCTCTAAGACAGGAACTACCTTCCCTTCCTCCCCCGTGTTTATACCGCATCTAATGTGAAGTCTTGGGCTAGGGCCATAGTTCACAAATACTTCCATAGTACAACGCAACAAAATGACAACATACTGCAAGTTCTTCTCTGCCTTAAGGTCTGACAAAGAAAAGTTACTCCTAATCACCTGTGACTGATATTACTTGGGATACACAGAATCAATAGAAACATTTACATGTAAAGTGGAGCATACTTAAACCCAGTCCTTCCCAAAAATCTTTCTTAAATTGTATTTTAGTCTTAGTTCCCACCCTTCAAATATTTCCTATAACTCCATTACATTTCCTGTTACAAATCATGGTCTTTCTCAGAGCAATTTAAGAAAAAAACAAACAAAACAGTATGCAAATTGCATGAAGCCTAACATCTTGTGAAGAACTGCTCGTAATTGCTTCAGAAAGATTTTAATAGTTAAAATTAAAAGAATTAATTAATTAAAAGAATCAGTTAATGAAACTGAAAACCTGAAATAAAACTCTACATATACAAAAGACTAAAGGTCCTAACTGGAAATTGCTCATGTAACTAGTGATATACATAAATGCAACAATGAGGGAATACGACAAAGCAAGTAAGCCCCAAAAAATCCAAGGCTGTGGTTAGTATTTCATTGAACCAGAGGGAAGACAAAATACAATCGCAGAGAGGAGACAAGAATTGCTACAGTCAAATAGATTTTAGTACAATTATTTTTTCCAAGAATCTGCATGTTAAGAAAAACCTTCTTTATTAAAGTTATTCATATTATAGGTACTCTAGTAAAGCAAATTACATTCAAGATGTCATCTGATCCATCCTAACTATCCTTGTTCTAATTGCTAAAAAAGACCAAACCGAACAAAACTCCACTCCAGTTCCTTTTTGTATTAAGGTTTTCATTTTAGGTTTAAAAGGAGTTTTGATTCAACCATTACATAAATATTTCTCTAGCAGAATGAAGTAGTTATTTCAGAGTTAGGTATTACTTATTATCATACTAAGCCAGGTTTTATTCCAGGAAAAAGTGATTAAACCATAACAAGAACTCACTACTTTTGCAAATTACGGTACTACTGTCTCGCTGAAGTCTTGCTGTACAGTTGAAACAACCCTAGCTAGAACACTAATATTCATTTATATAAAACCCTACAGACTTACTAGCCTCCACCACAGAAACTTCTTACTGTCCTCTGTGCAAAAAGCAGGAGACAGAATGGTATTATTTAAACACATCAATGTAACATCATCCATTCTTTTCCAAACAATTAACACTCAATTTAAACACTAATTGCTAGCAAAAGTAAACAAAACATAGTTATTCACATTTAAAATTAAAATCCTTCTGCATTGTTTTTGATTTAATGTATCTCCATTATCACATACTGATTTAGTTACCTTGCAAAAATAGAAGTGTTAAAACTATTCTAGAAATTTTCATTATTGCCAACCATTTTTACCATAGTACCTTGAAATTCTGACTATCAGACCAAGATTTCACTCCCCCAAGGCTCTGGCAGTCATTTAAGTGAAACGGTCTTATTATGACATTGGAGATGGTACAGAA